GAGGGCAAGAGATTCAAAGGTAAAAATGAAAGTATTATGGTATTCCATTGTTTGTCATTTTTAGTCATGTCTGACTCTTTGTGATCCATTTCTTGGCAAAGATACTAGAGTAGTTTGCCATTTCCTTCTCCAGCTCATTTTACATATAAGGAAACTGAGGCAAACAGGGTTAAGCAACTTGCCTAGGGTCACAAAGCTAGTAACTGTTTGAGGCCAAATTTTAACTTAGGAAAGTTGTCTTCCTGACTCCCAGGCCCAGCATTCTATCCACTAAGCCGCCTCACTGATACACACACACACACACACACACACACACACACACCCATAGACACATATAAATACACACATATACATATGTACAAACACATATGTATATGTATATACATATGCATAAATGTATCTATACATATATGTTACACATAAGGATATAGAGATAAATATAAGGAGAATAAATATAAAGTAGCTTAATTTGGTAGGGAAGGCAATAGGATTTTTAAAATTCATTTTTTTTAACCTTTCAAATATTGTTTTCAATAACCAAGCTCTGCCTTCTCACTTTTTCACCCAACCCCTTACCTGCAATTGAGAGTACAAAAAAACCAAAGCCCATTACAAACATGTATAGTTAATAAAAACAAATTTCCACATTTGCTATGTCCAAAAATATTTGTTTTATTTTGTATTCTTCATTTTTCACCTCTCTATCAGGAGATGGATAGCTTATTTCCTTAAAAGTTCTCTGGAATCCTGTTTGGTTACTGAGCTCAGTAAGAAGAGTCCAGCATAATAGTATTCCATCACATTTATATACCATAACTTGGGCATCAGTTCTTCAATTTGTGGGCATCCTCTCAGATTCCCATTCTTTGCCTTTTCTAAGAGAGCTATAAATATTTTTGAATACCCTTAGAGTTTGTTTTGTTTAGGACTAATCCCTTCCTTAATCTGTCCTCCTTCTAAATCTCCGTTCCCCTTTTCCCCTTTCCCTCCTATTTCCCTGTTAAGTAAAGTACATTTCTATACCCAACTGCATGGGTTCTTCCTGTTTTTGACCAGTAGTGATGAGAGTGAGGTTCAAATGTCAGACATTCTGCTCACTGCCTCCTCTTTATTTGTATAGATGTCTACTTGTGCACCCTCATTATGTAAGATAATTTTCCTTAACCTTTCTTTCCATTCTCCCAGTGTGTATTCCTCTTCCCTGTTCTTTCCATTCTTTTCTTAAGATCATCAAGACGTAACAGAACCACTCTCAGGCCTTGTCTAATTGGACCCTCCATGGACCCTGATGATGGTAGGGTTGAGAAGGGGACACATGTATCATCTTCCTATATTTGAACTTCTTAGTTTATTCTTGTTTACCATTATTCACTCACGTTTACCTCTTTATGCTGCTCTTCATTCCTGTGTTTGAACTTCAAAATTTCTCCACAACACTAGCCTTTTCATCAGGAATGTTTAGATTCTCTATTTCATTAAAGGTCCCTCTCCTCCTCCCCTCCCCTCGCCCCAGCATTACACTCAGTTTTCTTGGGTAAGTTATTTTTGATTGTAAGGCCATACCCTTTGCCTTCTGGAATATCATATTCCAAGCCCTTGGTTCCTTTATAGTGCTTGCTGCTAAATCATCTGTGATTCTGACTGTGGCTCCTCAGGACTTGAATTTCTTTCTTTCTGGCTGCCTACAGTATTTTTTCTTTGACCTGGAAGCTCTGTATTTAGGCTATAATGTCCCTGGGAATTTTCATTTTGGGGATTCTTTCAGGAGGTGATCAGTGGATTCTTTCAATTTCTACTTTGCTCTATGTTTCTAAGACATCTAGGCAGTTTTCTTTCAAGATTTTGAGATAGGATGTCTAGGTTCTTGTTTTGATCTTGGCTTTTGTGTAGTCCACTGATTTTTTATTTTTTTAAATTTTTTTTCTCCTTGATCTGTTTTCCAGGTCACTTGTTTTTGCTATGAGATACTTTACATTTTCTTCCTTCCCTCCCTCCCCCCCCCACAAGCCTTTTGACTTTAATATTTCTTGTTACCTCATGGAGTCATTGGCTTCCATTTGGTCCATTCTAATTTTCAGGGAGTTTGTTGCTTGGGTAAGATTTAGTATTTCTTCTAAGGGAAGGCATGAGGATGTGGGAGAATCAGAAAAGGCTTCATGTAAAAGGTGGGGCTTAAGCTGTATTTTGAAGAAAGAGAGGGATGCTATGGGACAAAGGTAAAGAGGAAGGTACTCTGAGGATGAAGGTTAGGGTTAGTGCCAGTTCAAAGCGCAGGAAAGGGAGTCATATCTGATAAGACTAGAAAGATGGGTTGGAGCCAGGTTTGAAAGGCTTTAGAAGCCAAACAAAAGTTTATATTTTTCTTAGAGGCATTAGGAAGCCATTGTTGCAATGGCTGACCATAGAGTGCAGGCTGGCTAGGTCAAGAGTGCGACCTGTGATTTCATTGGTCTAGGCAACTTCTAGGTGAGGAAATTCTCTAGCAATGCAGGTTGACACCTTCTACTCAACTTTTAATCTTAAAAAGTTGCCTAGAGCACTGAAAGGTTACACACTCAGAGGTGGGATTTAAACCCAGGTCAACTCTTTATCCACTACAATGTTTCCCCAGGGTTGAGTAGAGAGGTAGGAAAAACAATAATGGATTGATGGACTTGGAAAATAGGGAAAGGTCAAAAGGCTAGAAGTCATGATGAGATCAAAAAGCAGATGCAGGAGGAGTGGGAAAGGTAGGAAGATCAAAAATTGAATGAAAAATGGGGCAGCTAGGTGGTGCAGTGGATAGAGCATGGGCCCTGGAGTCAGGAAGACCTGAGTTCAAATTTGACCACAGACACTTGACACTTACTAGCTGTAAGTGACCCTGGGCAAGTCACTTAACCCTGATTACCTCACCAAAAAAAAAATTGTAAGAAAAAGGAGTATTTTAGTTCAGAATCAGGGAGGTAATAAGAGTTTTCTGTGATACTGTTGTCTAAGATGTGGGTGGTTGAAGTGGAGGTTAAGAGAGCTGAGTGTGTTGAAGAATTCTGGGATCTGGGCTTTATAAGGGCCATTAGTATAAATATTGAAGTCAATGAGGATGATTTAATGGAAAGAGAAAACAATGGGTCAGGTACTAAAGCCTCTGAAGAAGAGAAAGAGAGGATTCTGAAGGTGAGTAGATGATTGCTAAGATCGAAAGAGGGTGTTATAAAAAGAATGGTATGAATTTCAAGGAAGAAAAGGTTTTTGAATGATAGTGGCAGATTGATGGTCCAGGAGAAATAAATAAATGGTGGTGAGCAAGAAGCATGATGACTCCTCCTTCTGGCCATGTCATTCACAGGGAGTGGGAGAAGAAGCAGTCTCCATTGGACAGGATTGTCAGGGAGGGAATCGGTGTTGTCAGGGAAAAAGCCAGGTTCTTGTTAAGGCGGGCAGCTGGAAAGAGTGCTTGTGAAAAAGGTGGGGGATGGAGAGAAGCTTGCTCACAGTAGAACAGGGGTTCCACAGGGCACAGTAGATGGGGCTAGAGCAAGCTCCGAGTGGGTGGAGCAAGCCTGGGGAGACTTAGTACCCATCGATCGCAGGCAGGAATGAGAAGACCGGAGGATATAGACGGGGAAAGTTCTGGGGAGAGTGATGGAGGAGATAGGATGGTGGAAGGTAAGCTTGAAGGATATGTCAGATGTGGAAGGGTGGGAGTCCCTGGGGGTCCCAGATGTTCGGGGAAAGGGTGGGCGGTGGTCCACATGGTCTCTTCTGAATGGAGGTTGGCCCCCATAAGCCTGTGCAGCTGTAGCGGAGTCTGGGGGTGGAAAGAAAAAGGAATGGGGTCCCGGTGGGGCTTTTAGAATTGGCTATGTCGACTCGCTCCTGGGTGGGGGTGGGTTCGGGAGAACCCCCTCTTCCCTGCCCCCGCCTCCGCATCCCTCTCCATCCTTTCCTCCTCCCGAACTGTCATCCTCGGGCAGCAGGCGGAGCTTGCCGCGGCTATTCGCATCCAATCACAGCGTCGGGTGGGGCTTGAGGCTGTCTCGGCCCGCTACCCGCAGCCTGGGGATCTCGGTGCGCTCCCCACCTGCCCGCCCGCACCGGGGAGCGGGGGTCGGTTCGGCGACCGCCCGGAGGGGTTGGGGGGGCAGCGGTGCGGGCGGGGCCTGGAGGCGTCGGACCCCGGCGGCGCCTAACGGGGCTGGGAGGAGAGCAGCTCAGCCAGGTGCTGGGGGACCTGGGTGGGCCGGGCTCGGGCTCGGGCTGGGGCTGGGAGGCGGGAGCGGGACTCGCGGGGGCGCCCGCCTCTGCGGCCCCAAGCTCCGGGTCTAGACCATCAATCATCCCTTCTCTCTTCGCCAGCTTTCTCCCGAGGCTCCCTCCCTTCTGCTCCAGCCTAGGGCTGCCTGGGGGTTGGGGAGGCTGCAAAGCCAGGCGATGCTCTCCCCTCCCCCCTCCCCCTTCCTAAGCCTCCCACTCCCAACCCCATCGACTCTTAGGCTGACCCTCCTCCCATCCATGCACTGAGACCTAACATCCCCTCAATACCCCACAGGGATGACAGTTCCTCCCTTTCCCAGACCCGGGCTTGACCCATTGACCCCCCTCCCATTTTACCCCAGGAGTGAGTACACCCCCCAGGATGTTGCAAAGGAACCAGAAATTGCTTCTGCAAGTGGCCTCCTTGCTCCTCTGTGCTTGTGCCGGCCTCAGACTGCTTCTGCCCCGGTGGTGAGGGGCTAGGGCTGCTGCATGAGGGGTAGGGAGCTTGGGGGTTGGGGAGGAGAATTGTTCATATGCCTATAGAGGTACATGGTATCTTTGGATGTACAAAAATACATCACTACCAGGCCATAAGCTGGAGCCCCTGGATTTCGGCAGGTGCTTTCCTAGGCATAGGGCAGGAAAAAGGAAAGATGTGTGTGTGCGTGGGTGCTCATTGGACCTCACCCTACCCACCCCTTGCTTCCTGTTGGCTGATCAATGATCTCTGATTTTTTTATCTTTCACTTTCTCAGCCTGGAGCCAACATCAGGCAGTTCCTGGGGTGAAGCAGGGGGTGGCCAGCCATCTCCTGAACCAGTTGGGGAGAACACTCTGGGGTCTTGGTCCCAGAGGTTGACTGGGGAGGTTCCTCGAAGAGAAGAAACAGAAGTGATGAAGGTTGTCCACCTGGACATGAAGGGGGCTGCTCCCAGGGTATCTTATCTGGAACAGGTGAGACAGCTGGCTAGGATGGCTGAGACACCTCCGCTGATGGGGGAAGACATCTGGGAAGGGACTGTACTGAAGGGGGAGGGGCAATGACTTTTTTAGGGTGGAGGGATGATCCTAGGAGGGCAAAGGGAAGAATCCAAGTCCCTCTGACCTGTTGCCCCTCACTCTGCTCCCCCCAAGCTGTTTCCACTTCTGTCCCAGCTCGGGGCAGATGCTGTGCTGATCGAATATGAGGACATGTTCCCTTTCCATGGGGAACTTGAATTGTTACGTTCTCCCCACTCCTACAGGTGGGAAGGGGGTTGAGTTTGTGGGAACTGAGGGAGGAGTGGGGCTGTGGGTTTAGGAGGCCCTAGGATCTGAGAGGGGAGCCTGATAGAGAATGGGATCAGTCTATGGGAGCTGAATTAGATGAGGGGGATGTATTACAATCCTGGGGTTCAACAAGGGAGGTTGCCCAGGGATTTGGGGTTCCTCAGCATCTGATAGGGGAAAGAAGTCAGAGCTGTGGGGTCTGATAGAGGGAGGAATCTGTAGGGTTTAATAAAGAAGGCTGACTATGAGCTGGAGGGAGCCAGGAGTAAGAGTGGCAGGGGATGGGGTACATGACAGTGAGGCTACTGGGGGCCTGATAAGGACCCCGGTATCCTCAGTAAGCATGACATTGAGCGGATCCAGCAATTGGCAACACAGAACCACCTGGAGGTGATTCCGCTGGTGCAGACATTTGGCCACTTTGAGGTACATGACCCCTGCCTCAGTCCATCTCATGGGCTCTCTATTAACATGACCTCAGAATCCAGCAATTAACCTTCATACTAGCCCATAACCCTTGATCTTTGACTAGGATCTTCCAATCTTAATGCTGATCTGGAGACCCCAGGGACCAGTGACTTTTCAGGGTTGGGAGATGATCCCAGGAGGGTAAAGGGAAGAGTCCATATCCCACTGACCTGTCCCCCCTCACCCTGCTCCCCTGTTTCCACTCCTGTCCTGGCTGGGGGCAGATGCTATGCTGATCAAATATGATGACATGTTCCCTTTCCATGAGAAACTGGTTATTGCCCCCTAAATTCCCAGCTTTCTTAATCTTGTCCTCCCCTCCCCCCCCTTCATCTTGATGTTTCTCATTCCAGTTTGTGCTGAAGCATGAGAAGTTCTGGCTTTTGCGGGAGGTGGATCGTTATCCCAGCACCCTGAATCCCCATGCGGTTGGGGCAATGCCACTGCTCCGGGCCATCCTGGGCCAGGTCCTAGACCAGCATCCACACGCCCGCTGGCTACATGTGGGAGCTGATGAGGTTAGATCTGGGAAGAGGGAAGGAGAGATGGGGGAGAGTCCTATGGGGGGCTATAGGACCAGGCTTTGGAGGTCTTGCCTGAGCTGATCCATCTCCCCTTGGGATGCAGGTGTTCCACCTGGGTGAGGGTGCAGACTCCCGTGCCTGGCTACTCCGCCATGGGGAAGATGTTGGTCACATGTACTTGAACCATGTTCGAGAGGTCGTGACCTTCATGAGCTGGCGCCACCCAGGGCTTCGACTGCTACTTTGGGATGATGTGCTTCGAAGACTCCCACCCCAGGCCGTCCAAGGCAGGGGGACCCCAACCCTGGGATCCCCCAATTTCTAGAAATCCTGGCATTCTATCATTGGCATTCATCCCTCAACTCAGGGTTGAGGGACTGGGTTCCCCCCATCCGAGAGATGCTGACCTTCCCTCATTGGCATTTATCTCCCAACGTTCCAGGGTTGGAGGATGCTAGGAATGCCACCAACTCTGGAGCCCTGGTATCCCCCTTCCCAACAGGGAGACACGGATCATTCCATCATTGGTATTCTTCCCACAACTCTAGAACTCTGGAGTTCCCTGATCCCAAAGACCTTGACTTTCTCTCACTGGCATTCATCCTCCAACCCTAGGACCCCTCCTTGCCCCCTTGCCCCCTAGGAATACTCCTAACCCCAGGATCCTGGAAATCCACATTTTAGAGGCCCTGACTTACCCTCCTTGGCATTTGTTCTCCAACCTTAGTATCCTGGGATGCCCCCATCCTAAAGACCATCTTCTTCCCTGATTGGCAATTATCCCTCAACCCTGGAATCCTGGAGCCCCCCCATCCCAGAGACTTTGCTTTTGCCTAGTTGGTATGCATTCTCTGGATTCTGGGCCTCTGGCATCCTGGGATATTCCCATCCTACAGACCCTGACATTCCTTCATTAGAATTTCTTCCTCAGCTCTGGGACACTCTCCCCTCCCCATCCCCAGGACTCCTCTAAGGCCTTTCCATGCCCAAGGACTGGCTATGGAAGGTCCTCTCAAACCCAAAGACAGCTTGGACTGGTGGGGGTGGAGGGACAGGATACAGATATGGAGGAATCTTTGTCATGCTTTGTCCTTGCCTTTGGGTTGGACTCCTTAGCACTCTCTTACTGGTCTTTCATGTCATCCTAGAATCGGGGATCCCTCAGCTTGCAGACCCTATGATATGGTTCTACGACCCTGACTTGGACACTGACCAGATTGGTGAGCATATGGCCTGTCAGAACTGGAGTCACATACCCTGATGCCCTGGTTGTTAGGTGGGCCAGGGCTGACCGGTGACTAACTCTGCTGCCTTCCCTTTCCCAGGACTAGGACAGCTTGAGATAGTAAATGTAGGGGTGGGTTGGATACTCCTCTTGATCCCTGGCCCCTGGATGAGTGGACCCTCCCCAGATCTCTTGATAGCTGAATCCTTCTACTATCCCTACTCCTGCTTTCTAGTTTCTTATACTCTTTGTGTTCTCCCCACCCCCACCCCCAGGACGGATCATTGCTAAATATGCAGAAAGTGGCTTTCGAGGTGTGTGGTTTGCCAGCTCCTTCAAAGGTTCCACAGGCCCAGCCCAAATGTGGACCCCTCTTAGCCATCACCTGAGCAACCAACTGTCATGGCTCCGTGTGCTCCGAGCCCTGCAGGCTGCATCTACTGGCCCCCACGTTCGGGATGCCCGCCCTATCCACTGCCGGGGCATCGTTCTGACCGGTTGGCAGAGGTGAAAGCTTAGGCTAGAGACTGAATGGAGTGGGATGGGGTGAGAATGGGAATTAGGGGCAGTCAACTAGCTTTTATTAAGCACCTACTACAATGGGTCAGGCACTGTGCTAAGTGCCGAGGATACAAAGAACAGCAGAAAGCAGAGTCCCTGCCCTCAAGGAACTTGCATTCTAATGGAGAGTCTTAGACACATCTCTGGGTCTCTGTCTTCAGGTATGACCACTATTCGGTGCTGTGTGAGCTGCTCCCTGTGGCTATTCCTTCCTTGGCCATCTGTCTGCAGACCCTAGTTGCTGGTATGGCTTTTGCTCCAGGATGGTCATTCCCAAGATGTTGGGCTTGAAGGGAATTTAGAGACTTTCTCATCTCGCTCCCTCCTGTGTGTTGTGACTGAGAGGCCTAGGACCACTTGGAAAAGTTTTGGGAGAGGAGGCCTGGACACCAGCTGGGACTTTATACCTCCCTTCCCTACCTCTTCCTCTCTCCCCTCCCATCCCTCCCCCACCCCCACCCTCACTAGCTGGTTTTCTGCCAGTTCCTTAACAGGTATGGGAAGACACTAGGTAGCCCTGAGGATTTGGCCATAACTATTGTAACTCATATGTCTGTAGCACTATAAGGTTTATGGAACAATTTACTCATAAAAACCCTGTGAGGTTGATAGTATACATATAATTATTCCCATTTTACAGAAAAGAAAACTGAGGCCAGTATTAACCATCAGCTTGGGCAGCCAGGGAGAGGGGAGACAATGCCCAAGAAGGTGTGGTTTCCCTCTTTCTGTACATAATATGGACTGTGGTTACCGTTCTTAGACAATCAGACAGATGCTATTCATAGTGACTTTCCAAGAGAGTAGAAGGAACTTACCTATAGTCATGAGCTGAATTAGATTCTAACTGCTCTGGTTTGGACAGGGTGGCTCACCTGGATCGCCTGGTTTTTTTCCCCTTTCGTTCCACTAGGAGAATTCACAGAGGTGACCAAGAAGACAGTCATGGAGCTACTGGGGTTTCAGACTATCAACCTGGAGTCCAGCACCTGGTGGGAGGTCATGGGCCAGACCGGGGTGTTGGGTCCCTAGTTAGGGCTTAGGGAGGGGCTCCGCTTGCCAGCTTGGAGATCACTGCCTGATGGGAACCCGGGCGGGGCTTGGGGAGGCCAGGGCTCTATGGGCAGGGATCGGGGAGGAAGGGAGTTGGAAGGGAATGGGAAGGTCCAGCGTAGCATGTCAGTCTGAAGTCTGGCCAAAGACTACCCCCTTTCCAGTCCAGGCCCTCCTTGATCCTCTTCCCTTCTTATCCACAGCCAAGGAGATGGTATGTTTCCTGGGGCTGAGGTCTATCACCTGGTGGAACAAGTCAAGGATCTGAAGGAGACTGGGCTGAAGGCTCTAGAGGAGGACAGGTATCTTTTACACCCAACCCTCTGACTTCACCCCATCTGTTTCACACTTGAGAGAGTAGCTCCTGATACCTTATTCCTGAGGACCCTTGGGGGGAGGACTTTGAGAAGAACCAGAGGGGCTGTCCCCTAACTCCTCATTCTCCTCTTAGTACTTGCAAACTGGGAGGGCAGGGGATCTATAACCAGTTGCTGAAGTACCCCCTTCTGCCATTGTGTACCCCTAGCACAGCTCAGGGCTGGTTTAGCCCTTACCATCGTAAAAATCGGTTTGGGAATCCGCAGAATCTGGAGGTCTTTGGCCGAAAACTGACCAAGTAAGTAGTGTATTCTGGGAAGGAATGAGGAGGGCTCTAGGATGCTGAGGCTGACCCCTCAGGGTTTTCAGAGAGGAGTGGTGAGTCTGGAGCTGATGTCGTGGGGTGAGGAAGCACTGACTTCTGGAGGCTGGTGAGGGGAGGGTGACCTGTGGACATCCTCATTTCCTTCCCTCAGGGTGTCTGAGGCCTGGGAGAGCCTGCTGCCGACCTTACAGATGCATTTGGGTGTTGTGTTCGACTCTAATACTGTGGATGAGTGGTTGGAGGAGTATGTCTTGCCAGAGCTGGAACCCTTGAGGGCTATGGTGCGGGATTACCAGGATCTCCTCCAGCTGAAAGGGAAACCAGGAGGGGCCCGGCCTGGAGAGGTTGTGCTGAACCCCCAAGTCATTCCTACCCCAGGCCCTGGCTTCCAGGGGCTCCGTTCCAGGAGGGACAGTCCAGGGGATGGCTCATTTCGGGGCTGAGGTCCATGGTGGTGGTGGGCTCTCTCTGAGGGAGGTGGATGTGTAAAACTGACTTTAAGGATTAAAAACTATTTTCTTAAATGGGCTTCTGAAGAATTTTTCTTTCTTTTTTTTTTTGAGGGGAACTGGCAGTGGGTGGGAAGGGGTCAGATTCAGGTCAATACATCTTTACCTAGCCTTCTGTGATCAGCCACTCTGGAGAGAAGACTCATGGAATCAGAATTTTAGAATTGGAACAAACCTTCCAAATTATGGTGACCTAGAATTCAACATGGTGTTTTAGGTATTGTCTGATTGGGGCAGAATACACTCCTTATTCCACAGGTAGGGAATAGGTAAATAGGAAATGGAGGAGGGGAGACACACATAAGAAAAGCACATAGGTGTGACTGAGGGATGGATGATCTGTCTCAAACAAAGGCTAAATGAGCTCCACATGGAGTGGATTTACAGGGGACAGACAGGTAAGATTTAGAAAGGCATTAGAGTAGGAGGACCATCGCAGGTATGAAGAGAATCTTCAGAAAAGTCAGAGAGGCAGGCATGAGCCTGGGGTGGGGGTCCAGAAATCACGGAGCAAGTTGAAGATAGGTCATGGAGGGCCTTAAATGACAGCTCAAACTTTGTCTTTATGACAATGGAAAGTGATGAGGAGAGTGATAGACAGACTCATCTGGCTGTATGTATAGGAGATGGGGATTTGGCCTTGAATCCAGAAGGACTGGAACCCAGCTCTACCTCTGACCCATACTAGCTGTGTGACCCTCAGCAAGTCACTAAACCTCTTAGCACTCTAGTGACTCTCTGAGACTTGAATTTTCTGAAAAAGCGCCAACCTGCATAGGTAGAGGAAATGGCTTCAGCCAGGAGTTAGTTCCTAGAGCTAGTAGAATCATAGGTCCATTTAAAGGCTCCTAGATTGGTCCTCTTCAAGAACAAAGGACGAGGGGCAGCTAGGTGGCGCAGTGGATAGAGTTTTGGCCTTGGAGTCAGGAGGACCTGAGTTCAAATCTGACCTCAGATACTTGACACTTACTAGCTGTGTGACCCTGGGCAAGTCACTTAACCCTGATTGCCTCACCAAAACAAACCAAAACAAAAAAAAAACAAAAACAAAAAAAGAAGGAAGGATGAACAACAACAAACAAACAAGATGCAGAGCTGGAGGAGACCTCAGAGGCCATACAATCCATCCCACTCAGTCCCTATCTCTATCCCTAGGAGGAGGATGGATTTGAGGGAAGAGACTTAAGTCAGAAAAGTGACTCAGCAAGCTATTGTAATAATTAGAAGGAGCCATGCATGATATGAGCTCAAACTAAAGGAGAGAGTGTGAGGAGAGGATGGAGGGGAGCGATATAATGGAAGTAAAATCCACAGACCTTAGCAACTGACTGGTTGTAAGAGGTGAGGGAGGAATCATAGATAATATTCAGGTTTTGAACTCGAATGACTGAAAGGATGGTGATACCACTGAAAAAGGGAGGTTGGGAGGAAAAGTAATAGGTTTGGGAGGAAAGATTAGCTTGGCCCTGGAGTCAAGTATTTATTAAACACTTACTGTTAGGCACTGTGCTACACCCTGGCAACACAAATCCTAGCAGACAGAGAGACAGCCCCTGCCCTCAAAGAGCTTACCTTCTTTTTCGTTTTAAATAGTATTTTCTCCCCAATTACATGCGAAAACAATTTTGAACATTCTTTTTTTTTTAAATTCTGAGTTCCAAATTCTAACCCCGCCTCCCAGACAGTAAGTTATCTGATAAACGTTATGCATGTGCAATTGCATAAAACATTTCTATATTAGTCATTTTGTGCAGGAAAACTCAAACAAGAAGAAAGAGAGAGAGAAATAGTATGCTTCGGTCTGTATTCAGCAATATCAGTTCTTTCTCTGGAGGCAGATAGCATTTTTCATCATGAGTCTTTTGGAATTGTCTTGGATCATTATATTGCTGAGAATGGCTAAGTCATTCAGAGCTCTTCATCTTCCAATACTGCTGTTACCATGTACGGTGTTCTGGTTCTGCTCAGTCCACTTTGTACCAGTTCATGTAAGTCTTTTAGCTTTTTTCTGCAACCATCCTGCTTGTTATTTCTTATAGCACAATAATATCCCATTATAATTACATACCACAATTTGTTCAGCCATTCTCCAATGAATGGGCATCCCTCAATTTCCAATTCTTAGCCACCACAAAAGGAGCTGCTATAAATATTTTTGTGCCAATAGGTTCTTTTCCCTTTTCCTTTGGACTCTTTGGGATACAGACCTAGTAGTGGTATTGCTGAATCAAAGGGTATGCACAAAAGATATGCCCTTTGGGCATAGTTCCAAATTGAAGAGCTTGCCTTCTAACAATGTATGGTGTTTGAGGCTAGGCATTCAGGAGAAGAAAGCAGAAACTGGAAACTCAGTCAATGGGTTGCGGCTGCAGATTACATTATGGAGCCATCTGCATAAAGATGACCATGGGAATGCATAAGCTCACCAAGAAAGTGTGAAGATGGGGAAGGAAAAGGAACCAAGAACTAAGACTTGGGGAATGCTCACATTTAGGGCATAAGTGGAAACGAAGAAATAATGATTAAAGAGCTTGGAGATTCAAGAGAGAACAGTGTAAGGGAAGCCGAGGGAAGAAATCACACCCAGGAGAAAGAAGTTGGTCAGCTATGTCAAATGCTGCAGAAAGATCAAGAAGGACTAGGAATGAAAAATTATAGCCATTGGCCTTACCTCTAATGGGGTTATGAAGGAACTTGGAGAGAGCATTTTTAGTCAAATGTGGTAGGTCTTGAAGCTAGTTTGAAATCTGAGAAATAAGTGGGTGCTACAGAAATGGAGGTATAAAGTATAGTTGACTCTACAATGAGTGTGGCCATGAGAAGAGGGAGTAGGATGTAACAATTTTCCTCATTGGGAAAAATGAGGCGAATGAATACCATTAATCAATTGACAAATATTTATGAAGCTCCTATTATGTGTCAGGCATGGTGCTAGGTGTTGATGTAGAGAGGGGTCTGCATGTGGTGGGGACCTTGTGTGTGGCTCAATGAGAAGCAGAATAGACATCTCTAACCTCTTCCTCTCCTATCGTTCTCCAAAGAAGACTTTGATTTCTGCCAGGAGAAGAAGGCAGGAAGTTAGGGCTGAAACCACTCTACTCTTCTCAGAGAGACAGGTGGGTACAAGGCTAGAATTATATCGGCTCCCTTAAATATTTTTAATCTATGGTATATGATCAAGTTCAAACTAACTTTTGTTTGTTTTGTCATTTTTTGGGGGGGGGGACCCTAAGGTTTATACCCAAGGCTTGACCCCTTCCCAACCTTATACCAGTTCCACAATGAAGACGCATGGAGAATAGCAAAGAAGCCCATTTATCCAAATAATAGCAAAACAGAAATCAGAGGATACATCTATGTATGTATATATATACACATATAAATATATACATATGATATATATAGGATAACATATGCTGTACAATATAGAGCAAAAGAACTCTCCCATTGCGGGGGAGATAACTCAACTCATCTAAGAGTCCTATATCTCACCCAGGGAAAAACCCCCTAAAGTCTTTAGAGTAGCAAATAGGAAATAGGGATATGATAGACTTATGTTTTGTCTTCCCAGAGTCTTTTCTGTCAGTTATCTGAAGTGAGATTGGCCTCTCTCATCTTGTCTTTTGAATCTAGAAGCCAGAAGTACCCAAGGGTCACCCCGAAGGGAGGCTCTAAAGGGACTAGTGAAAGTTTGAGCTCTCTTGCCTTTCACTAACTCTGCCCTGCCCCTCATGCTTAATAGGGCCTTCATCTCCAGGAGAGTCCCATACCAACAGATTTTTGGACAACATTATATTCATACATATATAATTACATGTATATTATATATTACATGGCAATATATAAAATATAAATACATATAATGAAATATAAAATTAAATATGTAAATATAAAGAATACATACATACAAATGTGTGTGTATACACACACAAATACACACACAAAGTAGTTAAACTCAAGGTAGTTTGGGAGGAAGCACGCTAGCAGTTGGGGAAAGGCTTCATGTAGAAGATGGTGTTTAAGCTGAGTGTTAAAGGAAGAAAGGGACTCCCTGAGGTGAGAAGGAGTGCATTCTAGGCTTGTGAGGTTGCTTGTGTGAAGGCACAGTGATGGGAGATGGGGTATCATGTATGTGGGACCTCTATCCCTTACCTGGAGAAGGCCAGTTTGGCTGGATCACAATGTTTTTGGGTGTGGGAAAAGGGAGGGAATGATGTCAAATGAGGCTGGAGTGATAGGGCTTTAAAAGCTAACAGAAGAGGTTATACTTTATTCTAGAAGGGGGATTCTTGGCCCTTTTTGTGTCCAGGACCCCTTTGGCAGTCTGGTGAAACTTATGGGCCCCTTCTCAGAATAATGTTTTAAATGCATAAAATAAAACATATAGGATTACAAAGGAAATAAATTCTATTGAAATCAAGATACATTTTTCCTCATCCAGATTTATGGACCTCCCCTCCCCCTTGAAATCTATCCAGTCTAGAAACTCCTATAGTAGAGGCAATAGGAAGCTAGTGGAATTGGTTGAGTAGGGAATCATGGTCAGATCTGCATTTGAGGAAAATTACTTTGGCAGCAGTGTGTAGAATATATTGGAATGGAGAGAGACTCAAGGCAGGGAAACCAATTAGAGGATTATTGTAATATTATAATGATCTCTAAGGTTCCTTCCAACTATAAACCCTTTGTTGAGCTGACAGTAGGGTGGAGGGAAGGCGTTTTGGGGTTTTTAGGATGATGATTTTACGCAGAGGGAAAGAAGCCAGTGGAGAGGAAAAGACTGAAGATTCAAGAGAAGAGATGATTGATAGAGTGAAGCCACCAAGGAGCCTGGAGGGAACTGAGTCCTCTGTGGGAGGGGTCCAGTTCAGCATCTTCAATATACACAGCTCAGTGATCTCCAAGATGCCAGGGGAGGTGGTAATAGCCTTCGCTGGACAGAGGCTTTGGCTGCTACTCCTCATGCCCACCAGGGGGCGCC